ATTGAACCGGGCCGGTTCACCAAAAGTTGGGCCCGAGCCCGGCCCGCCCGACCCGCCCAAACGGGCTAAGAGCTCGGAACCAGCCAACCTGTCCCGATCCGGTCCGGGCCCAAACAGTAACGGGCCGGGCCGGTTCCGGGTTGGGCCGATTCCGGGCCGGGCCGGCCCGGTTTAGTCCATCCCTACCTACCCCCCAACGCCATCATATTTGGGGATTCTGGATAGTAGAGAGTCGAATTTGCACATTCAAGGCTCAGATCTATGGATTCCGGGCAGAAGAAAGGATAAGAAGATGACATCGGAGGCGAGCGATGGATGTCTGTGGTGCTCCAAGCTTCTCGCCGTTGGTTCGAGCTCCTCGCCGTTGGTCCGAGCTTCTCTGTGCCGATGGTCCGCTGTGAGAGCTCCCATTCGCGCCTCTGATTGTGGACAGAATAAAGGAGGAGAAAAGGGGAATGGCTGAGGCGGCATGTGTGCTTGCGGGCGATGAAGATGGCCCGATGCTCGCAGAAGCTAACGGCACTATGCGGCTATGTGGACTTGCGGTGGAGTGTGTATTTGCAATGAAGATGAGGTCTCATTTTTGTCAAAATCAGATTCAGTCATATTTTTGTCTATGCAAACTATAGAAGTAATATTAGGGTCATTTATTCGTATAAATAGTACCAATTTAATCAGGTGTAAGGGTTCAAAATAGAATTTACTACGATATCTCTTTACCTCTCTATTAATTATTAGATTATTAGTTATACATTCTCTATAAAATACTATTACAATATATACTTTCTACATAGATGATAGATAAGTTAACATCAAAATGGTATGTTATTTATCTATATAAAAGGAGGAGAAAAATGGATGAGTTTTCCCGTCTAAGGGAATGGTAAAAACTGGAATTTCACAATGTTTAGGAAGCTGCCTATTCACTGTAGCAATGTGTGTTCAACTCAATATATAGAGTACACAGCACTCCTGGACTACATAAATAATGAAACATCAAATCAATATATAAATGTTTGCTTCCAATAATACTTTTTCTAAAATTAAGATAACTTTTTCGGTTTTGTTCCATTTTTTTCAAAAAATGTATAAAATTTAGTATTTTTTGGAAAAAATAACTTTAAATAATACCAACTATCATCCATGAACCAATAATAATACATACTTTGAAAATGACTTTTAATGATACCAACTATTTGAATGTAAAACAAAAATAATACGGAGCCACATTTTGATTAAAAAAAAACTAGTCATTCAAGACATCAAAAACTAATGGCAGCCCATCAAATAAATGATATTTGGAAATATATTCATTTTTTAGATATTTTGGTACAAGTTTTTGATGAGTTAAATGGATAAATATTTATTAAAAAAATGTTCTATATCACTTTTGGTCTATATTTAAATAGTTGGTATTATTAAAACTTATTTTCAAAGTACGTACTATTCTTGGTTCATGGAAGATAGTTTGTATTATTTAAAGTTATTTTCCCTAATTTTTTGTTCTTTAATATGACATCCATATCCAATATGTAAAAAAAATATTAAATCTTATGAGAAATAGGTCCCCGTTTAGTAATATCCAAATCGGTTGTGTTGGTTGATTCTGCTAAAATTTAAGAAGTTTTGGCTGAAGTAGCTGAATTGGCTGATTGTGCTGATTTATAAAAAAAAATTATATTTAAAATATATTTTATTACAAAAATAAAGAAAAAATTAAGTATCTGGTATGGTAGTTTGGTTTATTAAGGCTTACTGAAAATTCTTTATGCACATTAATACATTATACATTTATACTACAATAGTTGATATAAAAATATACTATAAGAAAAACTACTAATAACCGTATACAATTGTGCAAATATTATACGTAGTATAACTAATTTGTGCAAGATTTTTATTAGTAAAATTCGGCAAAATGTTCTCCGACGTTTGTCCCACCGATTAGTGGTTTGCCTACTGGGATTAAAAAAACTATGTCATGCACATACAAGTATATAAAGGAATTGATATTTGTATGATTTTTTTATCATATTGATTTTTGTATGATAGAATTGATAAATAATTATGTATAAAATCTTGATTTTCATAAACCGACAATTGGACAAACTATGATCCTAATTTAGTACTACGTATGAAGTTTTCACTCCGCATAGAAATTTTCCAACTCCTAACAAAACTTTGTACCATCCCCAGTATTTAGGTAATTACTACTTTCACTGAAATGGTAATTCCTACTGATTAAAAAATAAGATATACTGCTACTACGTATATCTTGTCATATTTTAGTTCTAGTTAATAATCATGTTTTTATTTACATTGTTTTCGTTCTAGTTAATAATGATGTTTTTACTTACATTGTATTCAGAATAAATGATTCAAATATTAGCTACAACTTTCCTGTGACAAAAATGAGACAACTTTCTATTTTGGACAAATATGTGACCTACGTATGTGTGATATGTCTAAACTACCCCAATAGAATTCTTCTCTCCACCCCTTCCAGGTGTGCATGTCTTCGATTGACTCCAACCCGGCGGCCAAGGCAACCCAGCTAGATTACGGCGACAGTGAAAGCCAAGGGTCCAAGGCAACCCAGATCTGTTCATGAGGTGTAGATGGCATTTCGCTCCTGCAGCGGCGAAGACAAAGGTTTTCAAGGAGCGGACTTCAAGTCTTCAACCCAGCTTATCGACACTCATCTTCGATTCCGGCAACGGCGACGCAATCTGTTCCAAGGACTGTGGCTTGCCAAGTCTCCTGTGTTTCTCCTCGGTCCCCATCGTTGAGTGTTGAAAGCACCAATTTCTTCTCTGGCGATTCCAATCCCGTCTTCCTCCTCCCCCTCCCGCCCACATCCTCTTCTTCCGCTTTTTATTCTTCTTCTCTCTTGTGCAATTTAGTCTCGCTTTTGAATGATTTCTTCATCCTGGTTTGGAGGTTAGGAGTTAGGCTCATTGTTAAACGGATTTCAATACCAGGTGGTGAGTTTTATCATTGTTCGGGCAGTGATAGGGGTTAAGAAGGATCTAGCTGTGGATTTGGCCGTTGGTTCATGGGCGGTTGATGGTGTCATAGCTTGGGTAGTGGCATTTTGTGGCGGTAGTGTGAGGCCGGGAACGGGTTGGGTTATAATGATACGAATTGAAGGGTGGTGGTTTGTCATTGGAGGGGTGATACTATGATGCAACTATGTCACCGGAGTCTCAGGCCCATCGGTGTTGGTCATTGTAGTGTCACGCAGTGGGGTGCGGTATTGGTTTGGTTAGTTAAAGTGTCCACCGCCGGTACACTCGTGAATGCTGGTGTTTGATAGGTCACTCTCGTCACTGTGAGTTGGTCATTGGTGCGGTGGTGACTGGGGCGTGGTCACTGGCGCGGAAGTAACTGAGACAGTGATAACTGGGAGGGTAGTAACTGAGACGATGATCACTGCAGCGGTAGTAACTGGGATGAGGGTCATTTGAACCATAGTAACTCCGACGACAGTTACCAAAGCAGTAGTAACTGATATTGTAGTCACTGGAACGTTAGTAACTGGGACCGTGGTCACTGGAACGTTAGTGACCGGGGCGGTGGTCAATGGAACGTTAGTAACTGGGACGTTAGTAACTAAGACCCCAATATTTTCATATTCAAATATCTATCTTGATAAGTAATACTATCGTAGTAAAATCAAAAGAAGCAATAATTGGTAGAGAGTGCAATGTTATGTAGTGCACTGTTACGTAGTGCAATGTTACTGCATACAGTTATGCGAATGTATGTCGAACACTTGGGAAGTTGGTGATATGGATAGTCTCACTCAATCAACAGAGTTGCAGGATTCGTAATTGATAAGCGGTTAAGAGCCTTAAGGGTAATTTTGAAAAGAAGGTGTTTATTAATCACATTTTTGGAAATTAAATAAAGATGTCACTTTTTTGTCCATTGTAATTTTTTTAGTAATATTAATGTCAAACCCCAACTTGTTTTCAATCTCAGACCAGACTAGATCAGACTTGGATAGTTATAAAATACATAGAAACCAAACTTTACCAAACCAGACCAAACCAAATCGGTTCAGACCAAAAAATTTTAGTCCAAGTAAAAACATCCTAAATAGTACGAAGTATTAATATATTATTCACCCAGTAATCATAGAAAATAAAGTAAGTATTTCCTATGTAAGACTCATACATAAATAAAGTAGCTCCAAATTGGTAAAATAGTACTCCCTCTGTCCCTGTTTTTTCTCCCATTTCGGCTGGGCACACTAATTAAGATAGTGGATTTTGTGTGGTGTAGAGTTGTGCAGAGGAGAGAGAAATGTGTAAGAATGTGTAAGAATGATTGTGAACCACAAATTCTTTGCCAAAAAGGGAAGGAGGAGATAATTTTGGGACGGACGAAAAAAGAAAGTTTGAAGATAATTCAGGGACGGAGGGAGTACTACCTAGCTTATTTTGGACTAGCTTATTTTGGACTTTGAAAGAAGTAATACGGAGTATATATTACATAAGTAAAAATGTAAAATGTATTACATACAACCTCCGCCCACTAAGATATGGTATATGAGGGGAGAAGGGGGTGCAGTTACGAAGAAAAGCGAGTTAAATTTGATATGATACAATCGTAATAAAACCAACCAAAAAGAAAATATATGACAATCCTAACGGGATGGGACTATGGGAGAATATTACTTGGTACATTTGCTTGGTCTTCAACAAAGTTCTCCCAAAGGAGATAGACAACGAGGCCCACCAGCCCCTCGACTTCCTAGTCTGAGTAAGGGAACTAAGCTAGGAAATTTTGGTGAACAGTGAAGAGAGAGATTTCCCAGTGTTATTCTTACAGTTAAGCTTGTCCCTTTGCTACTGCGCATAGCACATTCAGTCCGATTGGCCCAAGGACATTCAGTCTTCGAACTATGTCCCAAAACGGCAAAAAGTGCGACTAAGTTGAGTAATGTTGCATAATAGATTGCCTAAAACTAAACACATATTCACAAGACATAACAAGGCATTAGTCGTTCGCCTCTGCAAAATGCAATATCTCCTGGCTCAGCCGGCCTAAAGCCAAAGTCAGATTGCACTGCTTCTCATACACTACATAATCCTAAGTACAAGTAAATAATAAAATAAAATAAAATAATATTATGCCTTAGCTAATAATAGTAACAATAAACAAAAATATGAGTAGCATTAAACCCATTAGCTACATTTAGAGCAGCAGTGTTGCTCTAAACAATCTATTTGCACATCAAACGAATACAACAGCAATTGCAACGGGCCTGAATACCATGAAAAGCTGTTATGGGTGTAGATAGTCACACGATGCTCCCTTTTTGCAACGGCCGCTCTCATAAAACTTGCAAACCCGTTGTGCTTTGGGAGGAGGTTTTGAATAACCACCACCACCACCAGTAACCGATTGCCTATTATAGGCATTGTGTCTACCACTCCTACCACCAGCACCACCACCAGGATAGCCTCCTTGACAAGCCCAGTGGTCTCTTGGGCCAGGAGGAAGAAACCTATCTGCACTGTACTGCCTCCTCTGACTATTATCCAACGCCACATTCCCCACCTCAAAACCACCTCGATTGTTTGGATTATTTCTCCATCCTTGCCTCGCACCGGTACCCAGACCCGGATTTCCATATTCATAGCTCACGTTTCCTCCTTGAGTAACTGCCCAGCTGGGCACCACCGGAGGATGATGAATTTCTGAACTGTGGCCTACTCTGTCAAAGGAGAGATCAGTTGGTTTTGTTTCTCCCTCACTGCTAGTAGATGAGTGCCCATTGCACCTCCTTGAAGGAGGATCAAAAGCTGCCCTGGCTATGTCCCCTGTGGAGCTATAAGCGTCGTTCTTTGCAGTGGGGTCTGTTGTGGAGGAGTTCATCTCCTCGATGGAGCTAAAACAGTCATCACTCCTACTCCACAGATTCAGTTCCACGCTACACCTCATGGCTGAAGTTGGAGATGAGCCTCCTAAACCGCTCTGGGCTTGTTGAGATGACTCTATTGCATCCACTTCAGCTAACAAATCAGACACTGACTCTTCAGCCAAAGTACTGAACTCAATCACGTTTGATGGTGGAGGCAGTGGCGGAGAGGATGGGTGAGTTACTTCTAGTGGTGATTTAAGCGATGACGGAACAGATACAAGTCCAGGATCCCAGCCGTCAATGACTAGACTACAGGCAGTAGTGGGACCCACCGGGTCCTGGACGGGAATATTTGAAGGGGAATGTCCACTGCTTTCATTTGGTGGTGGACTTGAATGCTGATGGTGGAAAGGGAAGTCCGAAGACAAGGAAAGAAGTTCTTTTGCAGCTTTGACTTCGCAGCTCTCATAACTACTCTTTTTTGGAGTGGGACTGGGAAGTTCTGACAGATCATTAGTAGTTTGACCATTCAGCTCAGGTGGAGAATCTCCCGACTTGGTGGTTGTAACTGACACAAAATGGGTGGCTGCGGAGCCCGCCATGCTTTCTGGTTCTGTTATGGGTAAGGAATCTAAGGGTCCCCAGTTTTCTCCAAACAGTTGGTCCATGAAGCTCTGCCCGCTAGATTGTATCTCGTGATGTATCTCGTGATTGATCGTGTCTGTTGGATGATGAGAAACAGTGTCACTGCACCGTTCCTCTTGTGCAGGACCCACTTGCATCTGCTTGCCTTCACTATATGATGAGAGGGGCAAGTTGCTACTACATTCCTGAGGTTTGTCAAAACATTGATTATTTCCATTCAGCAAATTCAAGCATTGCAAAGAAGGACGGGGAGAGCTCAATTCAGCATTTAAATGGATTGCTATATCACCATGACTATTATAATGGTTGCCTTCGCTTTCTTTGAGAAAAAATGCATTAGAACGTCCAGGCCACCCAACTGTAGATTTATCTGGAATCTGGGGGGTATGGGATTGCCAGTGTAACGCATCACATAGAAGTATTGATTCCTTGCGCTCATCACTTGTCCACACCCTCATATCAGGTGGGAACAACCCGGTTTTGTTCCACCTCCTCAACTGCATCATGGAAAATGGGCCTTGTATGGTCCCGCTAGGATCACGGTAATGCCATAACTTTTCTATTTCATCACTATCCATAGGAGGCATTGGATTTGCTACCAAAAGACCAGGAATTGAAGTTTCAGGTCCACATCTATCCACTGCCTGATCCACTTGTTGAGCACTAGCTACTGAGCTACTAGTGGAAGTCTGATTACGTCGTTTACCCAAAATAGGGACTTCAGATGTATCTATTTTCTCATTCGGTCTATGTTGGGCAATAAGTGCAATAACAGTCCCTCCCACTTTAGCTGTACCGATAAAACAATAGTTTAGTTATATGACAAGTTGATTTTATTTTTCCTAATGATGTATTTATTCAGCAGTTCAGTTAAAGAATTTACCTTTCTTCATGGGAGGGGTTTGTTTGCTTTCATTTTCCCCATACAACCTGGTGCTTCGTTGCCTCAGATTTTCATCTGCATAATACATTAAGGGCACAGTACTCATCTTTAACAAGACAAGATGAAATCAAAATCATTGCACATCCATCCCAAAAAAAGGCGGATGTTAAACTAAGGTCAATACAGCTGTGAGCTGTTACAAGTCAATTCTATTTGTACTTTTTATTTTGTTTGTTGGTCAAACAAAGGTTATCGTATTTAACTAGTTTGCGAGTTTTTTAGAGGGAGTTAAATGGAAAATTAACATTGTCTGTTGAAAGCGGGCTCTTTGTTTGGACAAACATTTTTTTTCACGAGGGAGGAGGTAACATAAAAAGCAGCAATCCCCCACCAACAAACTGTTAAAAAGATGCTAGAAACCTTTTTTCTTTTCATCAGATGGCCCAGCGTCTTCCTCTGATTCATAATTTGGGTTCATCTTTGGATCAGCATGCACCTCAGGAATTTCAAGCATTCTCCTATGACGTTCCTCGGGCGTCTTCAAACGTTGTAACTTCTCTATACATTCTCTGAGAGTGAGATTTGTTAAGGCATTCCAAAAACTAAATCGCGTTCCAGATTCAAGAGCTAATCTACCTTATTTAAGTCCATGACACTGAAAATAATGCAAGCTAATTATTCAGCCCTGAAATAACACTATAACATTAACAGGCTACGGACATCCTTCACACAAGTTTCCTTAATATAAAGAGCAATTTAAGAGCCCAATCAGTAACTTTGTGGAGAATTTAGGCTATCTTAATCCCCAACAAGCACTTCACTCACTTCAGGAACAGCCGAACAGTTTAAACAAGACTTTAGTAACTGAATTCCAGTTCATAGAAAAAAATATGGCATGAACAGTAAATAACTTGAATAGTGAACAACTATGTGATGCTGAGAAAATTCACATAACACAATTCTAAAGCAGCATGAACTATCAACTAAAGGCAGCTCAATCATATCTCTTGGTAGCAAATAAATCACATAACTTATTATCTTATTCTGTTTTGTGCTGCACTCACGAGTTTGGCTTATCCCTCCTCACTCATCACAATTAGCCGAAGTTCAAATGCCACTAAACACACGAAGTCCCCCTGGGTCTTTGGTTAGGTCTTTCATAGTGAGACACTATTGGCTATTGTGATAGCCTTGGGCCCTTGGCTTTCAGAAGCAATATTCCTACTCCAATTTAATTTGACCCGTTGTGGGCAAAATGTATACGCAAGCACTATGAGGACCTAGTGAGTAATGTCAAGTGGTTTAACTTCTCCAACAATATTTTAGGGGCAAGGGCAGGTCAGCACCCTCGTGTTTGGGGTGCAAACCCTTTTCTCTTCATGTTTAGAGCTTAAAGGTCCTACACTTTTCCCTAGAGATATCAATATTGGCTCCAAATATGGGGTACGACTACAAAATATCCAACTTTATTAAAGTACACCAGCAAACTCTCCTGGGCTGTTCTTACTTCTTAGGTTAATAATAGCCATTTTTAAATGTATCCTATATTCTTGTTTTGCATAGTCACAAACCCATGATTCAACATGATCTATGTCAAGAAAGTCCTATCCTTTCGTGATACATAATATCATAGACAGCAACATCTCCTCTTCTTTTTCTTGTCCTTGAGTTTTAAAGTCAAAATGTCAAATTCAACTTAAAATGCCAACTACTTATTGCAATTAGCGTTTACTGTACCACCAAAGGATATTCTTTCTTGCGCCCATTCTCACTTGCTCTATCACGGAGATGGATGAGACGCAATATTTCTGATTCCAGTGACTGCAAAAACAAAATATTAACAAAAGCAAAGCAAAAGGAAGTGGTGTAAACCCCCAAAAAATATGAGTGCAAGCATTACTACTATTACTTCATTGAGTTTTACAGGCCGGAGTGCCAACGCTTTCTTCTGGATCTCACCCTGCAAGAAAGCTCAGTTGTTACTTATCGCCTATCCTAGCAGCACTTTACAAATACAGAGGGCATGAACATGAAAACTTACAACAGTCATCCGTTTTACAAGCCCACACTTAATACTTTGACGTAACCGTCTACATTCCTCCTGAAAATTTTAATTAAATTTTGAAGGACCAATAGTCAGGCAAATTCTTGATGAAATATTAAAATACTTAGACGAGAAATATGAAATGAGGAAACAAAACTTTAGTACAAGTTCCCGCACATGCATATGAACAAATGAGATGACCGAATTAATGAATCACTATGAAAGGTACTAAAGGCATTTGTTTATGGAAAAAATAAGAATCGGAAACCGTTTTCCTCTTAAAGAAACAACATGAATGCCCAAACATATGCATGGGGTGTTTTGACTTTTTGAATCGCCACGTTTATGGGTTATGCAAAGAATAGATTATTATACTTTTATTTTCTGGATCGAGAAGTAACGTATCATGATTATGATACATGAGAAGTAGTGATAAAATGAACAGCCCTATATGAAGGAGTACAATACCCAAGGAGGAGACACTTCAAACTGAACTCAACAAAACTCAATTAGCAATTTGACATGCAACAAAAGGTTAATTGATAGAAAATGAATGTTCCCAACAAAATATGAATATTCCTCCATCCACTGAAATTACCTTCAACAGACTTCCCTCTTTTCTTACTCGGTCTCTTTCACATATTTAATCTTACTACCAAATAAAGCAAATATACAAAACAAAATTTCAGTAATACAATGACACATTCACATCAACCCTTTACCCATACCTCAGAGAACTCTTGATTTGAAAGAATATCTATAGATACGGCCTCTTTTTTGTCCAAATTCAGTACTTCTAGCATTATATCTGCTGTCTTATCTCCAATTTTATATGGTGTAGCCTTGCATGTACCTATGTATCAGATAACTTTTTAAATGAAATTCTAAATAACTTGACTAAGAACAAAAGGTAAGATGGAAAATAAGTGCTTTTAAGATGGAAACACATTTATACCTACAACATGGACAAGCCTGTACATATCCTGCTTCTGATCATTACCAGAAATTTTTATACGGACAAATGAACCAACGACGCCATCATGGAACTTCTTCACATCTTCAATGATATTTTCCATCAAACTACGCCTCAAATATATAAGATTTATATTATGAGCATCAATTGCTGCATAGTCATCAAGACTGTTTTGTGGAGCTTTTTCTTCACCCTTTTTGTAGGCTTTACGTCTCTTATTTTTGTTTCCCAAGGGCGGGTTAATTTTACTTTCATCAGTCTTCAAATGGTTAGAACCATCTCCAACAATTCCAGCAGGTATAAAAGCATTATTCTGGGTATTCTCTTTTGCAAGAAAGTGGAACTCAATAAGTTTTAACATTTCAATGTGTCCAAGACGTGATTTCCCAAACAGATTCTTGAGCCGTAGATCACAAATAATTTCACTCTTCTTATGTGGATCTCGAAGATTATTCCGCTTTATGTAGTCTAACAAAATTTCCTGAACATCAAACTGTGAAAGGGCTGAGGTATCACCATTTTTCATGTGTGCAACAAACTCCAACAACTCCTTAGTTGCCCACTCAGTGTATCCCTTCATTACTGAGCAATTAGTTAATCTAGACTTATTTTTTCTCTGAGGCTCGTCAGGATTAGTCAGTCTCAAAGGTTCATCAGAAATGGCAATGCATGCAGTATCCAAATTGGAAATTTTCCGATTTTCAGGAATGAATGCATCTTTCTTAGCTAACTCTTCCATTCCATTGAGATTCTTGAATTCCACAGGTTCAGAAGACTTTACAGAAACACATTTACCATCATTTGCATTAAGATGAACATTATCTGATTTGGCAATGTTTGGATTTTCAGGAATTGAAGAATCTTTCTCAGCTAACTCTTCTCTTCCCTTGTTATTCTTCAGCTGTACATGTTCAGAAAAATTGCTAATGGAGCCTTTACTATCATTTGCATTAAGATGGACATTATCTGATTTGGCAATATTTGGATCTTCAGGAATCAAAGAATCTTTCGCTAACTCTTCCCATTTATTGTGATTCTTGGGCTCTACATGTTCAGAAGACGTGCTGATAACACATTTACTATCATTTGCATAGAGATAAGCATTATCTGGCTTGGCAATGTTTGAATTTTGAGGAAATAAAGAATCTTTCTTAGATAAGTCATCCAATTCCTTATGATTCTTCAGCTCCACATGTTCAGAATACTTGCCAATTACATCTTTACTATCATTTTCATAAAACTGAACATTATCTGTTTTGTGGATGTTTAAATCTTCAGGAACTATAGAATCTCTCTTAGATAGCTCTTCTATCTCCTCGTGATTCTTCAGCTCTAGATGTTCATAAGACTTGCCAATAACGCCTTTACTATCATTTGCATAAAGATGAACATTAGCTAATTGGAGCTTGTGCTGTGTTGCAACAGCTTCTTTCCATGGATTTTTTGCTTGAATAAGTTCATTTGGTGTGAGTGATAACTTTTCCTTCAGAAGAATCCAGTATACCTTGAAAAGATACTCCCAGCTAGTCTTGTCATCAAAATCTACTTTAACCTGCATGGATTCAAAGCTCGTATTTATGCTTTTTCCTTTTTTTCCTTTTTGGAGATGGGAGGGACAATAGTCAAAGAGAGGAGGCAGTAAGATGTGCAAGTGATATTAGGACATATCTTTAATGAAACCACCAGACCGAAAATGTTTAACAATCAAATATAGAACTATTTTAATGTTAGTATGTCGAGTATGTACCATTTCTTTGTTTTCTCCATCTTTGTTTTCAACCAACATTATAGTTTTCATGCATGTAGAGCAGAATCCTTTGTTTCCTCGAACGCAAAAGTAATCGGCATTTCTAAAGCAACTCTTACACAATGAATATGTACAAGTGTAGCACATATAATGTGAAGACTTCTGGCACACGCTACATATATGCCAACCTGAAAACATTTGTACAATTACTATATCATTTTGCACAAGTACACAATATCATCTTCATGATTCTTGTGTGAAATATCAGCTATAGACAATAAAAAAACGAAAATTTGACATGGCATTCAATAAAAGAAAATGAAATGGAAGAGAAAATTAAACTTCTAGAAAAATGGCATGAAGCACAGGAACTAAAATTCAATAGTAATATAAGTAATTGTATTGCAGTGGAATATATATATATATATATATATATATATATATATATATATATATATATCAATAGAAAATTGAAAAGTAAACCTAGAGTAAACATTTAAACTTGATGAGGACTTGCACAGTGTCAATGCAAGCGAAGGTGCGTGCTGGTAGGATTAATTACGAAATAGTTGAGGTAGAGTAGTCCAGTAGGCGTTGATTTATAGTACGAACTTACAACAGTAGGTACAATCCTTGTCCAGATGTGAAGATCAACGATAATACGAAATTGAATTATCAAACAATTCAGAGTCAGATTGGAGCATTAATTATGAAACTCTATACAAAAGGAGCACATCAACCTACAAGCTAGGGCATTAATATTTTAAAGGAAAGCATACCGCAATTCCATTTAGCCTTGGAACGGAAAAATGACTCGTCTCGCTTGATACAAGCTGGATGATATGCCTTTGGGCACCCCCTAGCCATTATAAAAACAAGTTGTAATAAAATTCAATAAAAACAGATATGCTAGAGCTCATATTTCAACATTGGCTCGTTATCAAGTATGTGCAGCTTAAGACTGATTAAAGCACAATTGCATCCAAACGCAATAAAAAAACTCAACCATGGCGCAAGTTAGAACAGTATATATACATATCACGTCAAAACTCACTTGCGATCGCACAGCACAAGGGAGCCACCATCGAAGCATATGAAGCACACGTCTTCCTCCTCCTCCACCTCTCTTTTCCTTTTAGGTGGTGGAGGTTTAGCAGCAGCCTGCCCCCTCGGAGGCCGACCCCTCTTCCTCTTCTCCGTTCCGATCACGGTAGCGGGCGAAGCGTTCACCTCTGCAGACTTCCCGGTAAGCAATACAGCACCGCCAGCTGGTGCCGCAGTAACATTTGCCAGCTGCGTGACATCCATACTCCGATTAGAAGAGGTGCACAGTCCATGAGCACTACCTGGACTCTCAAGTCTTACAGTAGTCGCATCGTGGTCAAACCTTTGACTCTCTGCAGCTCCCGAACACGGCGGGGGCGGCCCAGAGATCGAACTATGAGCTTTCATGGGGAATCAGTGATGAAGACAACAAACAACCCTAGAGAGAACTCAACTGAGTAGCGTCGCCAGTTTGATCTACAAATGAGGTGGCTTCTTCTTCTGATCAGGACTGGTTCGACGTCGTTTCAGCAGAATTCAGAATTCAGAATTCAGAGACGAAATGGGGAGAGAGACGGTGGGGGTGGGGGTGGGGGTGGTGACAAAGGATTGGCTCTCTTTCTGAGGAGAGAGGAGTTGTGTTTGGGTAAACTTTCTAAATTTCAGCTAAGACAGAAGTCTTTGTTGCTTCATAGAGATGCAGCGTCAAACGCGGCACGTGGTGCTCTCTTTGGTCTATCTATAGCAATAAAGTAACAACCTGCTTACAGCGGGAGCGGCGCCTGCCTCAGCTTGTTTGGGCGGAGAAGTTTGGTGGGTTAAGGAAGGGTTTCATCATTTGCTTTTATCTTTTTTAATCATACACAGCTTATATTGATGCAAAAAAGCATCATAACCCGTAATCATTCGCATAAAACAACCTAATTCGATAATCACAAAATAGACAATTTTAAGTTTAATACTCGTTTTTTATTTAATTACTTGTCTCACTTTTCCTTTCGGGACGTATCAAAAAATTGTCTCATTTCTCTTTTTAGACATGGACCCACCACCTTTTAACCTCCCATCATTAAATATTTATATTTTCCATTTTATTTTTCCCATTACCCCATTATTTCTCCCCATTTTTAATCCCCATCCCACCAACCATATCTGTTACACTTGTCCCCATTAATTCCCCCATTATCACCATCCATATCTCGAAGCATCCTTACTCTCTATCAAACCGTCTCTCCATTTCTCTGGTTTATCTCTATCTCCATCTCTCTGGTTTTTCTCTCACACGACCTCTTCGTCTGCCCACACACACAATAGTATACATGTTTTTGTTTTCACCAAAATCATCTGTACATTAACAAATACAACCATATGCTCAAACACTTTTATATAAATACATTAATAATTACTAAACTCATCGAAAAGTACTATAAAATACAGTTGTACCAATACTTGCATATGCATACAAACAATTTTTCTATGTACACAAACAAATGAGTTGTCTTTGCGACAGACATTTTAGTTCAAGGTTTCACCAAATACAGACAACTAACAATCAAATGACAGACGATTAAACATCAATTACAGACAACTCAAAACAAATACAGACAACTAACAATCAAATGACAGACAATTAAACATCAATTACAGACATTTATTTTTCAAATGACAGACAACTTCATGAGTCTTACTAACAAATATAGACACTGCACTTACAAGTTGTTTGTTAGACAGACAACCCTTTTTTCGAAAACACACCAAAAAGTCAAGAAAAAAAATCAAGAAAAGAAGATTTGCTCAAGTCATTCAAAGCTTCTTGGTCTACACCTTCGTCGTTGTCTCCACATGTCAAGCTATCCAACGTCACCGAGCTCTTCCCTTCATCCGATTACTGTAGCTCTTGCATTTGAAACGACAAAAAAGACAAAAGAGCAGAGAAGTGGGAGAAGAAGCTTGGAGGGAGAAAAGATGGTAAAAATGAGAAGATTTGATGGGGAAAAATTGAAGAATGGAGTTTTATTGATAAATACAAATACAGAAGCTAAATACAATTTATAGGCCTAGGCTAACTTAATAAAGGAAAGAGTAATTATGTACAAGATCTTCTAATTAATACAAATCTCCTACTTGATTCTAGGAAATCAGATTATGATCAGAACAAATCTCATTATAATCAACCAAATATTCTAATATCTCTACACCCCCCCCCCTCAAGATGGTGAATGGATGTCTATCATTCCCATCTTGCAAGTAAGTTCTCGAAACCGCTCTACTGGAAGCCCTTTTGGTGAGCACATCAGCCAACTGAAGCTAGCCCCAAAGGAACATACTGCGTAGAAATCAGACCACTATCCAGTTTTTCCTTAATGAAGTGTCGGTCTATTTCTATGTGTTTTGTTCTATCACGCTGGACTGGATTATGAGCTATACTAATAGCAGGTTTATTATCACATACGAGTCTCATAGGAGCTTTAAATGGTATTTTCAAATCTCCTAATATGATCTTAATCCATAATAATTCACAAACCCTTTGAGGCAAGGCCCTGAATTCTGCTTCTGCACTCAATCGTGCCATGACATTCTGCTTCTTGCTCCTCCATGTCACTAAATTTCCACCCAAGAACATACAATATCCAGTAGTAGACCTTCGGTCAACAATTGACCCTGCATAGTCTGCATCTGTATAAATCTCCATAGACAGATGTTCCTCCTTTTTGAATAGCAGTCCTCTCCTAGGACTTGCCTTCAAATACTGCAAGATTCTATTCACTGACTGCAAGTGTTTTTCGTGTGGATCATGCATGAACTGACTAACCACACTAACAGGATGTGCTATGTCAGGCCTTGTGTGAGATAGGTATAGGAGTTTTCCCACAAGTCTCTCATATTGAGTTTTCTCTACTTTTGGGCTCTCCTCTTCACTCCCAATCATGTGATTTTGCAACCTAACTTACCAGTTTCTTTGAGAAGATCAAGGACATATTTTCTTTGGGAAATGAAAATGCCTTGTTTTGAGTACGCCACTTCCATGCCCAGGAAATATTTGAGCTTTCCAAGGTCTTTCATTTCAAACTGAGCTGTCAACTCCTTTCTTAGTATTTGTTTTTCATATTCACCATTCCCTGAAATGATCATATCGTCTACATAGACTAACAAAAGAGTCAGTTTTCCCTTTCTAGTGTGTTTTATAAAGAGGGTATGATCACCTTGGCTTTGTTTATACCCCAGCGATACCATGGCCTGAGTAAACATTCCAAACCATGCCCAGGGTGATTGCTTGAGCCCGTATAGGGCCTTCTTCAATTTGCAAACCATATTTCTCCCTGAAGTAGGGGCATACCCTGGCGGAATCTCCATATATACCTCTTCTTCTAAATCTCCATGCAAGAAAGCATTTTTTACATTGAACTGTTGTAACTCCCAATCAAAGTGGGTTGTTAAGGATAAAATAATCCTTACTGTATTCATTTTCGCTACACGAGCAAATGTATCTTCATAATCAATCTCGTAGGCCTGGGTGAAACCCTTTGCTACTAACCTTGCCTTATACTTGTCAAGTGTACCATCAGATCGGTACTTAATTATGTATATCCACCTACAACCTACTGTTTTTTTTTTGTTATTTGGTTTTTCAACCATCTCCCAAGTTTTATTCTTTTCTAGTGCATGCATCTCTTCATTCAGGGCTTGAATCCAATTCTTATTTTTTAAAGCTTCTTGTACTGATGCAGGGACTCTAATAGAGTCAATAGCTGAAAGAAAACTCTGGTGTTGGGCAGAAAGATTTTTAGTACACACAAACTGAGATATAGGGTACTTGGTGCAAGACCGTTTTTTCTTTCTCAACGCAATGGGTTGGTCATCAGGGTTTGGCTCACAATATTTGTTAGGCTCGGAGTTATGAGCATTTAAACACGAATTATTAGGCTCGAGGTTGTGAGTACTTACCTCAGGGTCTGACGATTGGTCTTGTTGATGGATTAGGACGGATTTAGCTTTTCGTTGGTACTTTATACGGTACATGTCATCATTATTGTGCACTGGTATTTGTTCAGAACCATTATCAGTAGCATCACTGTCCTTAGGGGTAAGAATAGGAAGTGAAATCAAGGGTACGTGTATTAAAGGAAGAATAGGAAACTCATGGGGCTCAACTTCCTGTCTACTCTCCCCCTGAACCTGAGAATTAGGATAAAAAGATTCGGTTTCCAGAAAAGTGACAACCATGGATATATAAACATGGCGACTAGAAAGATGATAACACTTATACCCTTTTTTATTTGGTGCATATCCTATAAAGATACATTTAAGAGCCCTGGGGTCTAACTTACTTCGATGAGGACCATGAACATGAACAAACGCAGAACAACAAAAAACACGACTCCGGAGACTTGACATAGTGGGCACTGATGGAAAGAAATTATTTATAAAATGTATAGGGCTAACACCAGATAAAACCCTAGATGGTAACCTATTGATTAAATAAGTAGCGGTCAACACAACTTCTCCCCAATAAAACTTGGGAACATTCATTTGAAAGAGTAATGCTCTAGCAATTTCAAGAAGGTGACGATTTTTCCGTTCAGCAACCCCATTTTGTTGTGGGGTGTCAACACAAGTCAATTCATGAACAACACCATTTTGTTTCAGAAAATCAGAAAAGTTCCAATTTACATATTCTTTCCCATTGTCTGACCGTAACCGTTTGATAGGTTTTCCAAATTGGGTTTGAACCATGTGGAAAAAAATAACAAATAGTTGAAACACTTCTGATTTATCTTTCATAAGAAAAACCCACGTAATCCTAGAACAATCATCAATAAAAGTGACAAACCATTTTGCACCAAAAATATTTGAAACGGACGAAGGTCCCCAAACATCATAATGAACCAAATCAAAAGGTTGGGCACTTATATTATCACTAGGAAAAAATGTGGAACGACGATGTTTGGAAAATTGACATACATCACAGTGAAAAGACTCAACAGACAATTTTGTAAATAAATGGGGAAACATGGCCCGAATAACTCTAAAGGGAGGATGCCCAAGATGTTTGTGATGCAACGATATTTGAGAGGAATTCCAAGATTCTGAACTCACTTGATGACGAATACTTTCCTTATACGGCAGAGAGTATAACCCGTCCCGTTCCCTAGCAATTCCAATCGTCTTCCACGTGGCAAGATCCTGAAAAACACAATGGGGATGAAAGAAAGTTACTGCACAGTTTAAATCTTTGGCGAGTTTGTGGATAGATAAAAGATTATTAGAGAGCCCGGGAACATGAAGCACATGCTTAAGGTGAAGAGATGAATTCAGGTTGATGTTACCACATCCAGTAATGAGAGTTTGGGATCCATTAGCAACAGTGATATGGTGTTTGTTTGGTAAATTGGAATATGAAGATAAATGTGAGATGTGAGGTGTCATGTGATCTGTGGCACCAGAGTCAATAATCCAACTATGATCAGTACTCAAAGCATCAAAAGATAAGAAGGTAGAATTCTTACCAGTCATTGTTAGAGAACAATTACCAGTGGGTGTACTCAAGGAGTCCATAAGTGCTCTTAAGCGCTCAAGTTCTGCTTTGCTAAGGCCGGGCATATCTTCTGTGGGTGAACTAGGTGGATTGCCTTCAATTTCCAGATTAGAAACAGTGTGATTTGCACGTCTCTGAACAATATTTTTGGACCCGCTTATACGTCAAAGAACTTTATCCCTTCAATGCAGTTTGAATCATGTGTCCTTTGTATGACCAGATTTTTTACAGTAACTGCACCATCGATCTTCACTGTTGGACTTCAAAACGGGGCCTCTCAAAGTGGATCCTTGTATGGA